AAGGCCTCAGGAGATAATATTTCTTATTTATAAACCTATGATCTTTCTCTATATTAGTCAATGTGGGACTACTCCTCTCAATAATCCTCAACCGTATGTATTATATATTACAGTGTTATAGCTAATGTCAAAAAATTTTATCTAATGAACCAAGGTTATTTCATACTTAATAGAAGTGTTATCCTGTTTCAAGCATTGCTATTATCATCCCTTTTAATTCATGGAATAAACTTTCCTTCACTGGCATCACTGTTGAACTACTTGGATTACTCATACATTCCACTTCAATCTCTAAAATTATCTTTTCCGCTAATTGCTTTGGGGAGAATTTGACTTAAAGATCTCAATTTGTGCAGGAAACTATTCAAGCAATGGTTATCTTCGAGTGTCCTGCAATGGAGGCTTAAATCAAATGCGTGCTGCGGTGTGCACTTTTTGACTTGCTATTTCTTTCCCCCATCTTCATTTACGCCTATATTATTGTTTGTTCTTTTCCTTGAAAGGATGATATATTGGACTCATCTAATTAAGCGTTTCAGATCTGTGATATGGTGACCGTTGCTCGCCTTTTGAACTTGACATTGGTTGTTCCAGAACTTGATAAAGCATCTTTTTGGGCAGACCCTAGGTATATTCCTTTTCTTGCTTTCTGTAGCTCGGTTGCGTACTTCTACATAGACTTCAATATGTTAACGCCAAGCTCTCGTGCAGTAATTTTGATGACGTATTTAATGTGAGCCATTTTATCGAGTCACTGAGAGATGAAGTCCACATTATCAGAAGACTACCTAAAAAGTTCAATAGGAAACATGGATTTACACAATTTGCCATGCCTCCTGTTAGCTGGTCAAATGAAAAATATTATTTAAAACAGGTTTGCATTATTTTTTCTAACGTGTACTCTAGTTTTTCATATTACTTATTAGATGCAAATCTAGGTCCCTTGGATGGTCAAATGATGAATCTGTGATATTACCAAGTTATATGTAGAAACCAATTGAGTGCAGTTTTGAGATTATTATCTTGTTGAGAGAATGTTAGGTCTAAATTGGCTAGGGAATACTATGAATTTTGTTGTCTTTTCTCAAACCCAGTGAGGCCAACTGCCCCCCAAATTGGCATGTGAACTCACTTCTGTTCACTCTCAGAGAGTTTATACAGGCTAGGAAATAGGACTCTTTGAAGATTATTATTGACCTCCAAAATTTTCTGGAAGTATCATAACCTACCCTGTAAGAAGGTCTCCCAGTTACCAGATTCTTAGATTTGGCAAAAGCAATTGATTTCCAAGGGTGTGAGATCCCACGTTGGTTGGATAAGGGAACAAAACATTCCATATAAGGGTGTGGAACTTCTCCTTAGTAGACACGTTTTAGAACCGTGAGGATGACGGCGATACGTAACGAGCCAAAACAGATAATATTTGCTAGTGGTGGACTTGGGATTGGGCTGTTACATATGGTATCAGAGCCAGGTGTGCCAACAAGGACGCTGGCCCCGGGGAGTGGATTGTGAGATCCTACATCGGTTGGAGAGGGAAATAAAACATTCCTTACAAGGGTGTGGAAACCTCTCCCTAGTAGACACATTTTAAAACTGAGGCTGATAGCGATGCGTAACGAGCCAAAGCAGACAATATATGCTAGCGGTGAGGTTGGGCTGTTACAAAAGGCTAAAGGAGGAGCTTCTAATTCTTACGCATTTTTTCAAATTAAAAGAATATCACGGCAAAAGTTATATTAATTATGAAAGAAATGTAATTTACTTGGCCATAAAGCCTTGACACAACTGAATACAAGGTGTTTTGAGTAGTACTTGAATGAGGAAAAAAAAAAGTATAGTATGAATATAAACTAAAAATAATACAAGGTGTTTTGAGCAGTACTTCAACAATAGAACCATCTTCTTGTGCTCTTATTTATACTCACTATTTTGCCTTTTGACTTCTAATGCCTTAAAACCCCTTGTGCAGATTCTTCCTCTCTTTAAGAAGCATAAGGTGTTACATTTTAATAAAACAGATGCACGCTTGGCAAACAACGGAATCCCACTTTATCTACAGAAACTCAGGTGTCGTGTCAATTTCCAGGCACTGAAATTCTCTCCCCAGATTGAGACGCTGGGTTATAAGTTAATTCGTCTACTTCAAGAAAAGGGACCTATTGTGGTCTTGCATTTGAGATACGAGATGGATATGCTGGCCTTTTCGGGTTGTACACATGGCTGTACAAAGGAAGAAGCTGATGAGCTCAAACGGATGAGGTTCGTAAATTTGAAAATTAAACTTATGAGGATCCAATCACTGAAGATTTTTCATTATTATTGTTCATATATGCCTAAATATTGTGGTGTATATGTACCTTTTAGTTTCTCTTCTATCATTGTGGTTATACCAAGCTGATGGATGCTGCTTAGGTGAAATAGTAATCTGTAGTTGAAATTTATCCAGATATGCATTCCCTTGGTGGAGGGAGAAAGAGATCTCGTCTGAAAAGAGGAGATCACAAGGTCTGTGTCCTCTGACCCCAGAGGAAACAGCACTGACTTTACAGGCCATGGGTTTTAACAAGGAGACGCAGATATATATTGCTGCTGGTGAGGTTTATGGTAGTGAACGGAGACTTGCAGCTCTTAGGGAAGCCTTCCCACTGATTGTGAGTACCATCATTATATCTTGTGCTCAAAATTTCACCTTTTGATGTGATGTGATTGTCTATGAAGACAATTGGCTGAAACTTTTAATCTGCATGATTTCCCGGGAACCCTTTGTGAGAAAAAAGTGAAGCTGTCGTTGGACACTGTCTAGTAGCCAAAGAAAGCCATCCTTATGAATGTAAGATCCCACATCTGTTGGAGAGGAGAACGAAGCATTCCTTATAAGTGTGTGGAAACTTCTCCCTTGTAAATACGTTTTAAAATCGTGAGGCTGACGGCGATACGTAATAGGCCAAAGTGGACAATATCTGCTAGCGGTAGACTTGGGCTGTTACAAATGGTATCAGAACTAGACACCCAGCGGTGGGCCAGCAAGGATGCTAGGCCCCCAAAGAGGGTGGATTGTGAGATCCCACTTCGGTTGGAGAGGGGAACAAAGCATTTTTTATAAGGGAGTGGAAACCTCTCCCTATCAGACGTGTTCTAAAACCGTGAGACTGATGGTGATAAGTAACGGGCCAAAGCGGACAATATCTGCTAGCGGTGGGCCTGAGCTATTATAAATGGTATCAGAGCCAGACACCGAGCGATGTGCCAGCGAGGACGCTGAACCTCCAAGGGTGGTGGATTGTGAGATCACACATCGGTTGGAGAGGGGAACGAAAAACATTCATTATAAGAGTGTGAAAACCTCTCCCTAACAGACGCGTTTTAAAATCGCGAGGCTGACGGCGATACGCAACGAGCCAAAGCGGACAATATAATTTGGGATGTTACAATGAAACACTATTGTGAATGTTATTCTTCTAAGATTCATCACCTTACTGTATTTCAGGTGAAAAAGGAAACCTTGCTATCCCCAGAAGAATTGCATCTATTTCGGAATCATTCGTCGCAAATGGCAGCTTTAGATTTTATGGTATCTATAGCCAGTAACACTTTCATTCCTACCTATGATGGTAACATGGCAAGACTTGTTGAAGGTCACCGCAGGTGTGCCACGTCATTTCTCGCCGAACAATTATCGCTTTCTTCCAGTTGTATTATTCGTGGTCATAGAGTCTTTAATTTCGTCTTTAATTTCTACTTGAGGTTTTCAAAACTCTCCTGATTTAATTCATACTGCTCACAGATACCTGGGATTTAAGAGAACAATTACACTGGATAGAAAAAAACTTGTGGAATTACTGGATATGCATCAGAATGGTACACTTCCTTGGGATGCCTTTGCAGCTGCTGTAAGATCAGCTCACGAGAAAAGACAGGGACAACCAATGCAACGAAGAGTAAACCCAGACAAACCAAAGGAAGAACATTACTTTTATGCAAATCCTCATGAATGCTTCTGTGAGGGAACGAACTGCAACGGCTCACTAAGCCACAGTAACTCGAGCCAAGTACTTTGACTGCGACTGACCGAATCAAGAACCGAACTTTCATGGCGCCCCAGGGGGAATTTTCCGCTTCAATGTGGTGAGCAAACCTTCTCACTTTCATTGGACAGTGCCCGGTTTTGTCGATACTCAAGCCTGAAAGTTTTTATACAAAGCAATATAAATAAGATCTTCAGAACTCTCCCTTGGACATCCAAGCATATTTGTTCATAATTTATATGATTGTATTCAACTTCTATCCTGCCATAAAATGTTATCATTTGTATCAGATGTGAGATGTCAACAATTTTTCCAGATGTTAATACAGCTGATCGAGGTATGAGCTTTATGCTTGCTTCTAAACTCACTCAGTGAACCAGTTTTGCTTCTTTTCTCTAAAAACTTAAAGCAATCCCATGTTTTCCACTTCTCTGCTGTTTGATCTAACAGAAGTGATAATTACAAGTATAAAATGTTTAAATCTATAAACCCTCTGAGTCATTTATGCCTTCGCCTTAGAAGGATTGAGTTTCAGCTATAGTGCTCATCTATTTAGGTGTGAGATCCCACATTGGTTATAGAGGGAACAAACCATTCCTTATAAGGGTGTGGAAACCTCTTCCTATTTGACACATTTTAAAATCTTTGATGGGAAGTCCGAAAGGGAAAACCCAAAGAGGACAATATTTGTTAGCATTGAGCTTAGACTGTTACATTAGGATTTAATATCTTACTAATTACCTTGACAACCAAATGTTATAGAGTCGAATGGCAATTCCAAGAGAATAGTCGAGTAACAGTCCAAGTCTCCCCCTAGTAGATATTGTCCGTTTTGGCTAGCCGAATGATTATTCCAAGAGAATAGTCGTGTAATAGTCCAAGCCCACCACTAGTAAATATTGTCCACTAGGGAGAGGGAGAGGTTTCCACACCAATGCTTCATTTGTTTCTCCAACTGATGTGGGATCTCACAATCCACCCTCCTTGGAGACCCAGTGTCGTTGCTTGCACACCGCCCGGTCCTGGCTCTGATACCATTTGTAACATCTCAAGCCCACCGCTAACAGATGAAAACCAATATCCACCCTTCCGCCTTAACATGACTATTAATGGCTGATTACTCAATTCACACTGTGTGTAACCCTTACCTTGATAACTATTGACAAATATGGCTGGTTACCCGATTCACACAGCGTGTAACCCTTACCTTGATAACCATTTTCTACAATCACCCGTATAGAGACAAATAGTGGCTGGTTACCTAATTCACACTGCTGGGTTGCCATTTTTGAGATGGGAGCTAGCTGGGTTGGAGGAAACTCATATGGCTGCGGTGAAGGAGTGATATGTTACAAGTTTTCAAAGAATTACACTCTTATTAGCCAATTATTACTTAGTTACAGGTGATAGCTGCAGATATATCGGCTGTGATTATGTCATACTGAGACAAGAATCGACCTTTTCTTGAATAATATCTTTTGCTGACTTTATTTTTCTTCCCCATGAAAGCAGTAACGGTTCAATTATGCAGTTTGGCCGTAGAAGTTGAATGAGGAGAAAAGCATGAAGCTTATTGGAGAGCAGAATCAGGTAAATGTGAAAACATTAAAGAGTAACAAAATTCAAATTTACTGTAGCTTTGTATCTGTAATTTTCCAGGAAACTTCTAGTCTTCACCAGAAAGAATGAGCCCAGGATTTCGTCAGAACCGTACAAAAAGGAAAGCAGCCATTGGTCTAAACTCACTGCTCTGGTTCAAAGGACATAGTCAATGTTCTACACAGTCAATCAGTGAAAAGTATGCAGGGTTTGATTTTATCAGTTTTCGTTGTTGAAACAATTGGCCTCTGCGTTATGTCAATGAATGGGTAGGATGAAAAAAGATAGGCTAGATTATAGAACTATTCGTTAATTTTGCCGATACCCTAACGGATTTATGGATAGATAGTCAAAGTGGACAAAGCAAGTGTCTCAGTCATCTGTTCTACGTCATTGTCTTATCGACTATTCATCCAGTATTCTATGTTGTTCTTTTAGGTTTAATCTAGCTAGCAAGTGTCTCAGTCATCTGTTCTATATCACTACCGTATTGATTATTCATGTTAGCATTATCACTTTTGATATCGGTAAGTGTTGTCACCAAAAACCTTTTCCGATTGATAGAAGGTCCTGCTACTGGCACTTGAAAAATAAGCTTTAAAGGTCTCGTCGATCACTTGAGCACTGATACATTTTCGGTGCCGTGGAGCTAGATTAGTGAGCTATTAAATAAGGGATTGCTTAGGGACCTTAGTGTACAATCTAGGATGTTTCCCTCTCGACTTTGGATCTTAGCACTCCAAAAGTCTGTCTATGCAAGTGATCTAGGCCTGTATTCGAATTTCCCTGAGATTGGTATGTCACTGCCCAATCGATTATTCATCCAGTATTCTACATTGTTCTTTCATAATTAACATACACAAGTGTTTTAGTCATCTATCCTATGTTATTGCTACGTTGTTCTTTCATACTTCATTTAGGCAAGTATCTTGGTTATCTGTCCTACGTCACTACCCTGTCGACTATTCATCCAATATTTTACGTTGTTCTTTGAAACTTGATCTAGGCAAGTGTCTCAGTCATCTGTTCGTCACTGTCCTATTGACTATTCATCCAATATTCGATATTGTGTTTTTTTTCTAAACTTAAACGAAATAAGTGTCTCAATCATTTATTCTACATTACCACTCAGACTTAATTTAGGTAGGTGTCTTCCAACATTCTAGCGATTTCTACCTCGGTAAATCAAGTTTTTTTTTTTAAATTTTATTTTAAATTTTAATTTTAAATTATCCAAAAAGAAATGTTATTATTTGGTGTGCAAGTGCGTATTAAATAAAGCCGCCGAGAGCTTTGAAACAACGACCATAGCGACGACCACTGAATATTTGAAGACTTTGGTCCAATTTATTAATTTAAAAACCATGCATTGAAATTACTCTAATTTCGATACTGTTGACCATATTAGGTCTTCTATTATATTCTTTTCAACCACGTGATTAAACAAATATTTCTTTTACCTTATATTATAATTTTTTTCTTATAAAATTTAATGATGTCTCTAGTTTTAAATTGTCACAATATGTACTACATTTTTATTATATCTAGCACGGAATCTCAAGATCATAATCTTTTATTTATTAATGAATTATTTTTTTTTCTTCTTAAATAATATTTTCTAATTTTCACGATTAAAAGGTTTCTTCTAATTAAATAAATAGTGGATATAATTTGATAAAAATTATTTATTACTTACGAATTACAATTAATTTTTAATGTCTACGTTGAAGGTTAGATATTTATATTAATTTGAAATTTGACTAAAAATACGTGGACTTTGTTATCAAAGATATTATTTTCGGCTTGACAATTCATAGAATTAATAGTTTTTGAAAAAAAAAATAGTCAAATAAATTATATTTACGTTTTTAGACCAAAATCATCGCATTAATTTAAATATTAATAATTATTTTATACAGGCTAAATTAATACAAATATCTCTAAACTTCGCATATGTTAAAAAATACTCTTAAACTTTCGAAAGTTTTAATAATACTTTTTTTTTATTATTTAAAAAGACCCTTACGGTTAGTATTGTTGAACGATGAAAGCCCCACCCCACTAAGCTAGTTTAGGGAATGATCATGGATTTATAAACAAAGAATAGTCTCTCCTTTGGTACGAGACCTTTTGGGGAAGCCTAAAGCAAAACCATGAGAGCTTATGCTCAAAATGGACAATATCATACCATTGTGGAAAGTCGTGTTCGTCTAACAAGTATTACATGTCATATATTGAGGGTAAGAACGTTTTCAATATTTTTTTTATATTAAGGTTAAGGATGCTAATAATATTTTTAAAATTTTGTGGGTATTTTTTAACCATTTAAATTTTTTTGAGTACAAATTTCACCATTTTTATTAATTTAGCATATATATATATATATATATATATATATAAGCTATTATTTAAATGATATTTATGGATATTTACGTTGGAGTGAAATAAGAGTGTCATGGATGACGTCAGCATATTATTATTATAATTATTTAAAAAGGAGCCACTTTTATAAATGAATTTAATATTAATGAATGATTAAAATAATAAAATGTGATAATCTCGTAGTTATGAACCGATCAACACGCCCACATTTCATTAATTTAATTGTATATAAGATAAAGTTATTGAAATTACGAAAATTAATAGTAAACTTTAATTAAAGTCTATAATTTAATACACATTTTCACACTTAGGAGGATTATGAATTGAAACCAACCCCCCAAAATATTCAAAATAAATAAATAAATAAATAAGGGTTTATTGGTTGAAATAAATAAACAAAAAGTTGAAACCATTTCAAACAAAGTAGTTGAAATAAATTATTGTAACTTTATTTGGCTAAGCTTTTGGAAAATGCCAGACAATCTTTCTGTTTGGCACAAAATTGACCGAAAATTAATTATTATTATTATTTTTTACAAAATAATTATAAAATTAATAATTAAATTATACAACTAATTATTATTATTATTTACCTTATATATATATACACCTAATATGGATATTTATAGATATTTTAATGCTTAAAAAAATTATATTACTATGACATTTTACTAGTCAAATCATTCAACCTGGTTGATCGAAATAAACGACTAGGTTCGTTGGATTGATTATAATTGATTTAGTAAGCTTTTCAAATGTTATCGTTCACCCTCGAGTTAAGCATGATATAGTGATATTTGACCCTATATAATAGACAGCGCACTAATTATTATTTTAATACTAATGACTCGATCTAATCTTCCGTTAGAACGAACAAAAATTAGTTTAGAAAACATGATTATTAATTTAATCTTGGGATTTCTATCTATATTAGGATTTATTACTATGTTTAATGTTAATCATATTTATGGAAGACTTGGTCAATGTGTATTATTATTATTATTATTATTTTTGGTCTAAAACTTGAAGCCCGAGGAAAGATACAGTTTCCAGATATCTTTCCTAGATTTTATTGGCGTGACAGTCAATTTGGTGAAGTGGGCATGTTGAAAAATTGATTCTTACAAGTCTTTGTTTAATTAAATATTGAATCGCTTTCATTAACCAATATCAACCACAGTCTTTTATCATTTATCTAATTGACATTCCGTACGTGTGAATGAGCTATTTTTTAAACTATTAAATTATAAGTTTACTGTATTCAAAGCACACGTGTAATTGACCAAACCCACTATTAGTAGATATTGTGTTATATATGTTTTTATTTCGAGGATTTTCTCTCAAAATTTTAAAACACGTCTACAACGGAGAGGTTTCCACACCCTTATGTTTTGTTCTCTTTTTTTAACTGAAGAACGATCTATATTGTATTTTACTTGAATTGCTTTATCCATCCTCTCGAGTTGCTGGTGGGTACTTTGAACTAGTCATGTGACTGAGGGCTCGTACTAAAGAATTAGTTGTATGGTTTAGTAGTTATTAATCACGGAGCGAAGATTTTTTAATCTAGATTCTATATTTGTTAAGATACAACCACGCTGAGACAATCTTATTGAATAACTTATTAACATATTAGATTGAGCCATTATAATTAGAGATGTCTATAGAATGGGTGGAAGCTGGGAAGCCTTCCCTATCTCCACTCTTATTTCATTCTCCTACCATCCATTTATCTTTACCGGATTAGAGTAAAGATTCGAAAATTTGCATGATTGAGTCTTTACGAACATTTTTTCTTTTATATATATACTAAATATTTAATTTTTTAATAGATAATTATGTTTTAAAAAAATATAAAACATTAATAATATTTCATATCATTTTTAAAAATTCAAATTTCAATATTCCAATTATTAATTTTTTTAATTAAAATGAGTCCTCTCTTCTTAATCTCCTCCTCCGTCTAATTTCATTTTTTGTTGGCCCACCAACCCAGGAGAAGTAATTGTAATGTTCTAATTTAAAAATAATATATAAATATATATATATATAAAAGTGAGATGAGCATACGAGAACATAATCTTAACAGAGTTGGGTTGAGATGGAAATGTGGAATATAATCAAAGGGTCAGATCCAACCTACTAATGTGGAGGGCAGAAATGAGAAGATAGAATACAATCTTGTCTCCAACTCCATTGAGAGAAAAATTTCTTCGTACTCTTTCTCTCGTTCTTTTCATGAATTATTGTCAGATCCAACCTACGAATTAAACCGACATTAAATTGTCGTAAATTTCAGACAAGAAAACAAATCGAAATTGAGAAGAAGAAAAAAAAAATGTTTATCACGTTATGTAAGGCAGTGAAGTGACGAAAACAAGCTAGTTTTTTTCTCATTTTGCACACACCATTTGCATGACGTGTTTTCTTCTCTCCACTGTTTAAGTTTGAAATTTCACACACAGTCAAACAATGAATTAAATGCCAAGGAAAAACACGGACTCCCTTTTGAAATGTCTCTTTCATATTTGGAATCATTCACTTATAAATACCCCAAAATCGCCATTAAAAAACACATTACATTTTTATTGGGTTCTTATGATCATCTAAAATCATCACCAAAATGAAATTCGGCAAGCAATTTACCGCTCAAATGGTTCCCGAATGGCGCCAAGCTTACATGGATTACGATTTTCTCAAGTCCCTTTTGAAGCAAATTGATACCTTCAACAAAACCCACGCCAAAAATCACCCCCCGAGCCACCCTGGCCAGCTCAAAAGGGCTCTGACACTCTACAGGGCGTTCAGTGGGCTGACACTCCGCCACAGCCATAGCCATGGGCTTGCCAGTCCTGGGTCGCCGCCGGATGCAGAGGAGCAGACGATTCTGGTGAACTCGGTGAACAGAGACGGGACGAAGAAGTATCGGACGACGTTTTTGATGGCGGATGAGGAGGGCGGCGAGTATGAGCTGGTGTACTTCCGGTCGTTGGATAGGGAGTTTAATAAAGTGGATAAGTTTTATAAGTCGAAAGTGGAGGAAGTTTTGAAGGAAGCGAGTGTTTTGAATAAGCAAATGGATGCTTTGATTGCTTTCAGAATTAAAGTGGAGAATCCTAAGGGTGTTTGGGATTTCTCCGGCGACCGGTCGGAGGAGATTACAAGGCTCGCCACTGATATTGCGGTTTCCACAGCGGCCTTGTCTTCTTCAACTCCTTCCGGGGTCCGAGCTAGCAGTAAGTTCATAGATTAAATTATAAACCTACGAGAGCTTAGGCTCAAAGTGGACAATATGTGATTCCTAACAATGAGTGATCTGAACAGGACGAGTTCATATAACGATGGACGCTATTGAGGAAGGGGAAGGCGGGTCGAGCCATAACAATAATTTTAAACCGGAGAACGAGTCGAAGGTCGAGAAGGGAGAGGAAAAGTCCAATGGGGAAGAAGAGAAGGAAACAAAGATGAGAGCCAACAGGCCACCTCCATTGGAGCTGCTTGATCGTGTGAAATTGAACACGACAGTAGAGACTCCAAGATCAACAATTAAAGGGCTTTTGAACTTTCCCAAGAACTCAGAGCTTCAATTTAACAAAGAAAATCTTAACAAAATTGAGAATCAACTCAGGAAGGCTTTTGTTGTGTTCTACCACAAGCTTAGACTGCTGAAGAGCTTCAGGTGACTAATTGGAAGCATTTTTTGGTGTTTTTTTTTGTTAATTTTGTGGGCTAATTCTGGTTTGATATGAACAGTTTCTTGAATACTTTGGCATTTTCGAAGATAATGAAGAAATATGATAAGGTAATGATTGTGTGTTTTTCGAAGAGATTGAGGTTAAAAGGGTATGGTTTTTGAGGTAAGATTGTTTGAAAATGGTGGATGCAGATTACTTCAAGAGATGCTGGAAAGGCTTACATGAAGATGGTGGACAGCTCTTACCTTGGGAGTTCTGATGAGGTTAGGATTGTTTATTATTAATTATACTCGGCCTACAATAAACATTTAGACTCAATTTTGAGATCTCACATCGGTTGGAAAGAGAAATGAATCATTTCTTATAAGGGTGTGGAGGCTGACGTCGATTCGTGCTGTTACAAATGATATTAGAGCCAAATCACTGGATCGTGTGCCAGTGAGGACGCTGGGGCATTTTAAAATAGTGAGGCTGACGTCAATACGTAACGAGCCAAAGCGGACAATATCTGCTAGTAGTAGGATCAGACTATTATATTATAAATGGTATCAGAGCCAAGTTACTGAGTTGTGTGTCAATGAGGACGTTGGGGGTAGATTGTGACATCTCGTATCAATTAGAGAGGGGAACGAAACATTTCTTATAAGGATGTAGAAACTTCTCCCTTACATATGCATTTTAAAACTGTGAGGTTGACAACAATACATAACGTAACGGGTCAAAATGGACAATATCTGCGAGCAATGAGGTTGAGTTGTTATATAAATAATCGAAAAATAATGAACATAGCTTGAATACTTTCTTGACATTAATGGCATTGAATAATCAGGTTTCGAAGTTAATGGAGAGGGTGGAAGCTGCATTTATCAAACACTTCTGCAATGCTAATCGAACCAAAGGAATGAATATCTTGAGACCCAAAGCAAAGAAAGAAAGGCATAGAACAACATTTTCAGTTGGTAAACAGCCATTCTTGACACATTTGCAAGACTCTTCATTCATGTTTTGAACATTGGCTGATCAATTTTAGAACAAAATTTTCAGGTTTCTTTGCTGGCTGCACCATAGCTCTTATCGTCGCCCTCATTTTCATTACACGAGCACGACATATACTCGACCGAGAAGGCCGCTCCCAGTATATGGATACCATGTTTCCTCTTTACAGGTAACTTAAAACAGAGAAACAGAAACATTGCAAATCAAATCAAATCAAATCAAATCAAATCAAATCATTCTTCTGCTTGTTTAATGCAGCCTGTTTGGATTCGTTGTCTTGCACCTGCTAATGTATGCAGCAAACATATACTTTTGGAGGAGATACCAAGTGAATTATTCATTCATTTTTGGTTTCAAACAAGGCACTGAGTTGGCATACCGTGACGTTTTGCTTCCCAGTTTTGCCGTGGCGACTCTTGCTTTAGCCTGTGTTCTTTCTAACCTTGACATGGAGATGGACCCTGAAACCAAGCCATATCAAGCAGTGACTGAACTTCTACCTTTAGTTTTGCTCCTTGTAAGATTACTCTCACATAAACCAACTCATCTGCCCAAAAACCCAATAATTTGTAGCTAAAAGTCTAGCATTTTACCCTGCTTGCAGGTTGTGGTTGCAGTCTTCTTGTGTCCATTCAACATCCTATATCGCTCGAGTCGCTTCTTCTGCTTAAAAACTCTGTACCGCTGCATATGTGCTCCCCTCTACATGGTAAGAAAGATGGGAATAGTCTTTTCAAGTTAGAAAAAATAGCAAAACAATTGTAAGGATAGAGATTTGACCTTTCGACTTAGCTCTAATTTCGGATACTTTTCTTCCTCTGCAGGTCGTCTTTGCTGATTTTTTCTTGGCAGATCAGTTCACGAGCCAGGTTAGTAACACACAAGGTTCTTCAGTTCAAGAAATTACCTGCATCTTACATCCTCAAACGATTACTTTGAATCGATTCAGGTGCAAGCACTTCGTAGCTTGGAATTCTACATTTGCCATTACGGTTGGGGAGATTACAAACATCGACAAAACACTTGTAGAGAGAACACTGTATTCAACACGTTCAGTTTCATCATTGCTGTTATTCCATATTGGTCGCGTCTTCTTCAGGTTTGAATCTCGTCATCGAACTTTTCAGCTCCATCTAAGTTAGACAGGTGAACGTTATAACACTAACACAAATTTTTGTTGGTTTCATACTTACAGTGTCTCAGGCGACTGTATGAGGAGAAAGATGTAATGCAGGGATACAATGGACTGAAGTACTTCTTGACCATTGTAGCTGTTTGCTTGAGGACAGCTTACAGTCTGAACAAGGGAGTATTAACTTGGAAAGTTCTAGCCGCAGTTTTCTCAGCTGTGGCTGCCATTATATGCACGTATTGGGACATCGTAATGGACTGGGGCCTCCTGCAGCGGAATTCCAAGAACCGCTGGTTGAGAGACAAGCTACTTGTTGGTCACAACAGTGTGTATTTTGTAGCAATGGTGAGTTTCTCATACGGTTTCACTGCTAAAAACAAGTAAGGGTCAATACTCAGGACACTTTTTCTAGTAATCTAAACAAGCTGTGGATATCAAATGCAGGGCTTGAATGTTTTGCTGCGGTTTGCTTGGCTGCAAACCGTGTTGGATTTCCAGTTCTCCTTCCTGCACACACAAGGTTTGATTACAATAGTTGCCAGCCTCGAGATCATTCGTCGTGGCATATGGAATTTCTTCAGGTACGACTACGACAATTCTATTCTTTTAGGTTCTTTCCTCGAACTGCCTGCAAAAAACATACAGCTCTTTTGGAAACCTCAAATGGTTAGTTGACTAATCTATTTACCCTTTTGGATTAGGCTGGAGAACGAGCATCTGAACAATGTTGGGAAGTACCGTGCATTTAAATCTGTACCGCTGCCTTTCAACTATGATGAAGATGATGACAAAGATGATTAAAATTTTCCGGACAGCATTCTTTCAACATATGCAGTTCAAATGTTTCTAAATGTTCAACAATTTTTTTACAGTATATATCAAATACATATCATTGCAATATCATCTCGACTCTACTTTTCTCATGATTCCTCTATCCGAGTGGAATTGGTTTAAAGAAACGAACAATCAAAGGGTGAATGTTCTCATGCACTTCCCTCTGCTTAGCTGATACGAAAAATAGTTTGGACGAAAACAAACAAAACTAAGTTCTACTCTTAAGGATATCCTTCGCACTTTCCAGACGCCTTTGTGCTTAAACATAATGAACAATATGCACCCCATCTTGTTCTTTCACCTCGAACGACCTCAAGAATGGTGTTTACCGTCTATACTACTACTAGAAAGACACTCTGGCAGACACTGCTATTTATTCTAGTAGGAAGATGGAGAAAATGCAAATGCAATTACACTATTGTAAATGAGAAAGGTTAAGTTTCAGAAACTGGAAATTGCAATAAAGAGATATGCGAAGCCTAAAGAGTGATCAGTCTTACATTAACAGAGGTCATATGATCAGCTCAGCAATACCAAGTTTATGCATGGCCCCGTAGAATATGTAGATACTAGCGGGATCTGTGCTCTGCAGCTGAAATGAAAACCAAGTCATGTTACGCACACAAGCACATACGTGAGTTCGACAGCCTTAGCTCACCATCCGTCTCAAACCATCCTTAAAGTTAGCATAAGATGGACCTGAAGAGTAATGCACTTAAACTTTGCTTCAGTGTCCATCTGCAAAGTAAATATTGGATTGAAATGCATTAAAGTAAACTCCAATTATGACACACTTCCTGCCATTCGTGCGGTGGCTGTATTGATCCATCTCATTCATATCAGCCTCGTATATATCTCAAGAATTAATACGATTTCTTTATGAAAAAAACTATAAACCTGACTTATCCATCTCATTCAATGGTTCCTCTAGCAGTTATATAATGTAATTGACAAAAAATCAAATCATATAACTAAACATACAAGGTTCAAATCCCAAAACTCGGTTACCATTAAAGGTGGATGAAGAAGGGAAGTTCTTGTTCAAGCTTTCCCTGATTGTTAATGTAAAGCTGACTTATAAGGTCCAAATATTTTGCCATCACGGAATGATCGTTAATTTTCCTTCAGTCGTACAGTTTTGATGGCAAGGAAGGTAACTTTATCATTCCTGTTGAATAATCACAAACTCTAACCAACATTAAGAACGATGCAAAGGATCCTATAATGAATCATACACCACACTGTTATAGCAGCCTATTTTCTCGACACAAACTTCGAATCATTCACTCCAGAGAGAGTGAACGAGCCAACGGTAACATCCTGACTCCTTTAGGATGTGATGCATCTCTCACCTCTGTCCTAGAAAGTGGAAGGCGACAAACAAATAGAAAGAACACGAGTAAAACTTATAACTAAGATATAGTTACGATTCTAAATCACAAAGCATCGTTGGATTTCAAACAGGTCTCTTTTCAACAGTCCACAAGCTTAATTTCCATTCCACAAACAAGAAACCAACAAAGGATCAAATTAATTCTCCACAAAGCCCAGATGAAAAGTTAAACCACACAAATTTCACAAAACAAACTAGAAAGTTTCACGTATTATAGTTCATAAATGGAGCTGTTATTAAGAGAATACATAGTTCATATATGAAGTAACAGGTACAGATTTTTGCCAATGTTTCCAACTATAGTTGGAAGGGGGAATTCAGATGATTCTTGGGAAAATGATATCAGGCGTAATCACCTGAACAATTATTCAGAAATTTGAATTCAATGATAAGTGGTGTAAGGTAAGACCTCTCCTCTCCTATGATAATTTGAAGATCCATTTTCAGTGCACTAAGACAAAAGATCGACAAGAAACTAAATACTCTAAAAAAGTAAGGGTTTATGCCTCAGGAATTAGATCAAACGAGCATCGACGAACTTCACTTACTACCGGCAGAGGCCTTCTGTTCTTCCGAATTGTTAGAACCCTCATTTACCTCGAGGACATTGGAATTTGCATCCGGAGTCATTTCCTTCTCCAATTCGATAATCGCCTCCTCCTCCGCCATCTTCTCCGCCTTCAGAATCGGCTCGTAATAATCCGCATGAGCCTCCATACACTTCTTCAGAGCCCCAGTCACTTCGAAGCACTTCTCAACAATATCCTCCTTGTTCTTCTCCGCCTCCTCGATGCATTTCTCCCACTCTACGAAGCTATCTTTGCACCCGCCCCCTTTCATAAACAAGCAAAACCCACACTCCCCCTCCTCTTCCTCTTCAGGATCCTCCCCTCCACTTTCAGGGATCTTTCCTGATTGATCTGATTCCCCGGAAGATTTTTCCTCAGGAGGAATTGGGGATCCCGATTGCTGTTCATCCTCCAGGGTTTTAGTGGCGGCAGCGTTTGATTCTGCGTCTTGGAGCTTCGAATTCGAAGTGGACATCCTTGTCGGAGCCGGGGGAATCGTTGGATTCAAAGCTAGCTGCGGTGTTGTCGCTCCGTTCTTCCACCGCCGGCTTAAACCCCAAAAACCCTCCGATTACAGGACTTATTTACTTTCTCTTCCTTGTGGCTGAAGCTAAAACGGTCAAAGGATGAGCGCTGACTATAAATTTAGTTAAGAAAATAGGAACACCTACAATTTCAACCCTCTAAACATACTTTGATCCTTAAATACACCTCAAAATGGTTCCAAAATTGACATAGCTTCAATTAAGTAAATTAATTTTATGCCAAATTTAAAATTTGTATTATGTAAAAAACTTATAAAAAAATTGATCTAACTTTATTATATTTGAAAAAGTTACATTTTTAGAGTATAGAGGAGAAGAAGAACCCGACCCGATTGTACGAGGTCACAATTCAACCCAACACTTCTAAATTGAAAAACTAATTCAACCCAACACGTCCCAGACTATCGCAAAGAAAACTTCACCAAAATAACTCAAATAAGTACCTTCGAGATCAAAGTTTTCTTACTAACAATTTCTTCTTTTCATTTACATTTCACTATTTGAATCACGACCACTAGTGTTTAAAAAAAATAATACTACGAGAACTCGATTTTTGAAGAACGTTCAAAGAAAATATTCCAACAAATAAATCATTTCTACGGTTCCAAATAGATTATAGGTTCGAATTCTCATCCACACGAGAAGTTGGAAAGCTTTGCAGTGGCTGAAGTTGACAAGAACTACAGCACATGAACTCTCCAACCTCAATTCTCTTTCAATCATCCTTGCCATCATCATCATCATCGTCGGAGTAGCTGAATGGAAGTGGAACAGACTTGAACGAGCGATACTTGTTAACGTTGTTCAGATGCTCGTTCTCCAAACTGATCACAAAAATCAATGTCAGCTGAAAACCAAAAGCCAAGAGATACTGAGCTGCTCTGCATTAGAAAGTTACCTGAAGAAGTTCCAAAGGCCACGGCGAACGATTTCCAAGCACGATATCGATGTAACTGCAGCAAGTTTTTGAAACGAACGCAAGTTGAATGCTAACACCAGCTGAATCCAAGCAACTCTCAACACTACATTTACTATCTGTTCAGAATCCCATAGAAACATAATTGGATCAGTAGTGGGGAAAAAAGCATAAATGATTGGTTGAAGCAGGTAGCATTACCATGGCTGAAAAATAGACGCGCTTGTTGGACACTAATAGCCGGTCTCTCAAGTACTTGTTCTTTGAGTGTTTTCGCAGAAGTCCCCAGTCAACAACGATGTCCCAGTATGTATTGATCAACATGGAAACTGCAGAACTAATCAAAGCTAGCACCATCCAGCTAACTCCCTTTCTTAACTCACAAGCAGTTCTAATCAGGACTGCAACGATCGTCGAGAGGTATTTCAGAGCGTTGTAGCCATGCATTGCTTCTTTTTCTTCGAGTAAACGACGAACGCAC